AAGAAGAACCTTTGAGGGCGAGAGGAAATTTTCTGCCATCCTGGCAGTGATTCTGTAGCACTTACCAGGTGCTGCTCTTTGCTGGGCTGATCCTGAGTGTAACTTGGCGTCAGAACACAAATGTCTCAAACTCCTATTTTATTTTCCAGAGATTTGATAGGGTTTCTGGTTGTTTCCTGTTTGGGCTGTGAAGCATTCTGTGTCTGGGGCTCTATCCATTAATGATGCACATTTGTCTAGCTCACTCTGCAGAGCTCTTTAGCATGTCAAATCCCGTTGCTTAAAGTGCCACCATGCTCCTTCATACTGATCCTTGAAAAGAAAGATGTCCTTGATTCGTTGGTGTTGTTTCTTTTAAATTGCTCTGGATGTGGATTTGATCTAATTAGCATCCATTATAATGAGGGCTCTCAGCAGCGGTGTGGTTTTGAAATATAGTGCACATCTGGGGAAGCCCTTCTTGTTCAGGAAGCTGCTGCCAGTGGCCAATTTACACAACAGAAGAGGGTTTTAGTGTATGAATGACTCCTCCTCGTGCTGGCCTGCTGTTTCCTTCCTTGGATACATGACTGTAAGCTTAATTACAGCTGCTGATTCATCATCTCGTTACTAGGGTATAAAGTTAGTTAATGCTTTTGAAAAAAAAAACCAGAACAGCCCCCAAAAACTAGAAGCCAACAAGAAACCTCTGCTGCTGGTTTTGTTCCTTTGGCACAGGAGATCTTTCTCTAAGTTGACGTTTTACCTCTGGCTGTACCTGTGGCTGAGGGGCAGCTCTTATTGAGACCAAATGTATCTGAGCCTGGGAAGCACAATGTTATGGATTAAAATATTCAGTAGACTTTGGATTAACACCGAAATGATGTTTTAGAATATCCTGAGTGCATTCCTTTCAAAAGGATGCCATTAGGTCAGTGAAACATACATTACATCGGTGTAACCGCTGTTACGGTGTGGAGTTTCTCTTGAAGCTGTGTACGAATCTTCTCTTGGAGACCAGAGCCGCATTCAAAGTTAATGAGGTGTGTGTTTTGATCCTTGAGGGAAAAGGGACCTGTGTTAGTGTAAAGGGCACGGGATCTCACATCTGTGAGCTGGCAGCAGGACCTGCAGCTGCTGTGCCACACGTGTGCCCAGAACACAGTGCCTGTGTGCCCAGGTGCTGCCCTTGGTGGACACGGAGTAGTTCTGGGTAGAGAGAGCACCACCCTGTCACATCCTGTATGACTTGTTCACGTGGCCAAAGCCCGAAATTACATTTCCCTCCCAGTAGTTTCTTTCTGGTGTATATACTGAGACTGAGCAGAAGCCAGGGGCAGTGCCATCCTTCTTTAAGCAGTGCTATCTTGTGAGTGCACAGAAACTAAGATACGACGTCGATACAGAAATTCTTACAGATGATCTGTGTGCTCAGGAGGCTTGCTCTTCATTTGAGGAACGAGATGAAAATTCTGGCTTCCTACTTAAAAAGCTCTAATTTAAAGGAAAATTCAAAAGTTTAAATTTATTTTGCTTCTGTTGTTCAGGGTGATGTTAAGACTTGTTCAGAGTAAAAGATGCTTAGTGCTTGAGTAATGTCTCTTGTGTTGATCTTCTATTTTTGAGAAACAGAGAAGTTGGGAAGGGACAGGAGCTGCCATCGAGCATGTTTTTTCCTCTTTGCCAGTTTCTGTTTTGAGAAAGTTCATTTCAATAGTGTTTAAATTCTGCCTGCTGGAAAGGTTGCCCTGTATTTCTGACAGACTGTGATGTCGTGTATCCCAGAGCTGTGCACCGAGCGCTTCCTCAGCATGGACAAGAGGCGTGTTGGGCTCTGCATGTTCATCTCCACGCCGTGCTTTGTGGTGGGGCCTTAGATGCTTTGCTTTGTCTGGGACTGCTGTGGATGGCGTTTCTGGAATGGGCAGAGATCTGCTCAGCCTTGGGAATGCTCTGTGTGAAGCTGAGGAGCAGAGCAGCGTTTGCTGGGGAGCGATAGAGGTTTGCATGGTGAAAACAGCAAAGTGCTGGTTGAAGCCAGGCACCCAAGTGAAAAGTTTAAAAAAAATTTAAGGAGAATAAAGAAATGTTCTGTGATTGAAAGGAGCTGTAGTAGTAAATGAAAGGGAATAGATTGTCTGGATTGTAGTGGCAAACATGGTTGCATTCTCCTAAGGGAGCCCAGGCTGGTATGCTGACAACTCAGGAGACCTCACTTTGGGGTAAGCTGTGGTGGATGGGTGTTAAATTGTGAAATTATGTTTTACCACAAAAATAGCAAATTATTTCCACATTATTTATACACAACTTCAGTACAGTGTACTCTTGCCACCATTGTTTGGTTTTGCTGACAAGTCTGATAGCTTGTTGCACAACAACTCTGACAGGTTTTTCTTTGTCTCCTTTTAATGCTGCGTGAGGTATTGTTGTGTGTTTGAAACACTTCCCCTCTCAGATTGGTTAGATATGCAGTGCTGCTTTCTGAGCTGTAGGGATCTGGGAGGGACTGATGTGCTGCTGCAGTTCAGGCGAGGTGGGCGATCCGGCGGCTGAAGGCTCTGCAGGGCTTTTTGATTCAGCAGAACAATTCCTGCAGCAGAAGCTGCCCCTTGTGACTAATGCAGGCTGGGCTATTTATAGCCATGCATATCCACAGCCCTTCTCCACTCCAGCAGGCAGTCACCCAAATACAAAAGACTTCTGGAATTAAAGTAACAGTCAAAATTGAAGTTAGCGCAGCAGTTTCGTTCTGACAACGCGCTGGAATGCAGGAACACATTTGGTAATAAAATGCTTTCCTTGCACGGAGCGTGCAACTTTGGAAGCTGTGTGTAGGTGCTCAGAAAGCAGAGAGTACGTTGCAGGGCCAAAATGGTTATTTTTTCTGTCCAGAATTCATATATGTTGCAACTTCTGATGTTTGCATTGGTCTTCCAGCTTGAGAGGTGATCGTCCTTATTGCTTCTATCCTTAGCCAGCCAGGGAAGGAGAATCTGTCAGCTCAGAAGGCTGTGCTGCTCCTTGGAGCTGCTGTGTGCTGCAGTATTGCCACTGCTGCTGGAGGCAAACTGGTGTGTTCCCCTGTAGGTGAGGGTGCTGGCATCTGGCTGGAAGGCATCTTGGAGCTGGAGTTTTATTGCATGTGTAGAGTAGCACAGGATTTCTTCTTTGAAAACGGCCAGCGTTTTCTCATGCTGTTATTTTGTGACAGATCATTGTAGATATAACTGAAGACTGAAACTGTAAGCTTACTTGAAATGAGATGTAAAGCTCTATTGAATCCTGTAAGAAGAATTTAGTATCTGAAACCTGTCATCAAGGAGCCCAAAAGGCACAGCATACGAGTTAGGTCTTTAAAGTTTTATTTCTGTCATTTTTACAAGGCATTCTTGCGGAAAAAAGAAACTCACCAAAAAACAGATTTGCTTGCAGTTTCTATAACTATAAACTTTAAATATTTACCAACAATAAACATAATTATTTATGATATTTGAAGCCCCTTTCTTCCCTGTGTGACAGAAGAGTCCCGAAGCCATGAACTCTGCCAATGAGTTTGCTGGCAGAAAGCTGGAGACCAAGTGTTAGACCATTTCCAATTTCTTCTTGCTGGGCTTCCTTGTTAGTGTGTGGCTGGCTCTTACGAAGTCTGCCAACATGCCTTTGCAATGAGGCTGCAGCATGGCTGGGCGTCATCGTGGTGCATCCTGCTCAGGTTTTGTGATGAGAGCATTTGGGATGGACACCCCTGTGTGGGGAGGGGTGGCACCTGGCTTTTATCTGTTCAGCTGGGTCAGATGGGGAAGCTGTGGTTATGGCCTGACTGCACGTGTGCTGCTGCCAAGCACACGTACTGTATTGGTTTAAAGCTTTGGATAAATGCTTTTGGGGTAAGAGTCTTAGGTAAAGTTAAGTAGACTCATTGCAGAGAGCTTACAGGTTCCTCTGCTGCTGGGAGGTAGGCAGGCCAAGAAAATGGGAATACATTTCTGTTTCTGATCTTGTGACAATGGAAAGAATTGACTCGTGTTCTAAATAAAAGTGATTGATTCTCTGAAGGAAACCATGAACAGCACACCAGAAAGCGACCATGCTTTGCAAAATCATAATAGACAAAAAATAAATGCTAAAGAGATTTTCTTAGTGAGTTGCAAGCTATGCTTTATTCTTGTCAGTGTGGATTTTTTTTTCCTTTGGAGTTTTGGCAGAAGAGAACAGGTTTTTCTTGCCTCGAGAGCTCTGTTGGGGCAGCTCGATATGCAGATAACTTGCTGTCTAACTCGTATCTCCTGTGTGCTATGTGTTGGGGTTTTTTTCCCAAAAAAAGTCTTTAATTATATAGAGACAGACAAATGAGAAGAACCAAATTCAACATTTCTCCTTCTGTTAGGAAAGTAAGAGCTGAGATAGTAAATGAGAAATGGTATTTCACAAGAGAGGGTTACGTTATTTGCAGAGCAGTTGTGTGAATTTCAGGTTTTATTGCTTAGGAAGTTAAACGTGAGTAAATAGAAGCTATCAGGGTATGTTAGTGATGACACTGGAGCAGTAACTGTTGGCACCTGCAACTTTTGGTACCACTTTCTTGAGTGAAGAGTGGAGGTGGGACATGGAGGCTGGCTTTCTTCTGCTGAGCTGGCTGTGTAGCTGCGGTAGCGTAACCTCAGCATAGCCACAATATCCAGGTACATTTTGTGCTTCTTTTCCTCTTAAAACCGAGCTAGGATTCAAGTGCAGTTGGTAAATAGCTTCTACATTTCAGGGATTAAGTAGCCTTGTTGTGAATTGGGCTGTCTTTTCTGGTGCAGATAAGAGATAAGCAGATTTTCTTCTTTCCTGTGCGTCTGCTGGCTGTGGTGTACAGGTAGGATATCTTTCAATTAATAGTACATTTACATGAGGTGAAGCAGACACCCCAAATTTAACCTCATAAATGAATTCATTTGAAGTACTTTATTTTTACAGTTTTTTTTTTGTTGTTGTTGTTGTTTTTGTTTTTTAAACAAAGAAATATAGCTAAAAGAAGAGCTGCGTAAGAGAAACTAATGCCAAGGAGTTAAAATTGGGAATCTGTGCATTTTGATGACTGTTAAAAACCATGCAGGTATGGTAGACCCTGGGTTTTTGTGGGGGAGGAAGCCTGAGATGGACACTGAAGGATCTATGCCTACATCTAGACTTCAGTAAGTTTAGTTGAGAAGCACAAATGATTTAATCTTGCATATATGGAAGTGGTGTAGCACAACAGCAAAGACCTCAGCACGAACCAACTTCTGGAATATCTCTCCGTCAACCTAAGTGAGTTTTGCAGCCCACAGAGGACTACGGTCCTACCTGAGCCCTAAGCTGCCTCGAGTTGTCTGCAGGAGTTATGGTTGCAGCAGTTGCACTGGGCCTTGGTTCTGTTTTAATACACAAACTCGCTTCAACCATGAGAAGAATACATTTAGTGTACAAAACTAAATTAGTACTTGTATGTTATTTTTTGGAGAGCGTTTTTTCCTTAATGATTTGGAATTAAGGAGGATCCATCCCAATCTTTGATTGACTCATCATATGACCTCAGGCAAGTTACTCATCCACCTTGAGCTTCAGTTTTCCCAGTTGGAGTATTAAGTAAACAACAGGAAACTTGCCAAAAGCCAAATGTTGGGGTTGAGTTGAAGCTTCCTCACTTTCTGTTGTTTTCTGTTTTTATGAAAAATCAGATTTCCTTTATTCTCTTAAGTTAGTAATTGAAAAAAATTGCTCTAGGTCTGCTACTGAAGCCATAGATGGGATGTTGAGATTTAGTGAAGTTCCAAATGTGTCCCTCCTCTTACGAGGTCTGCTGCTCATCTCATTACTTTGCTGATGTTTCCAAGAAAGATCTTGGTCTCCTGGAAACTGCAGTCCATCCCTCTTGTAAAAATGAGATGTTGGTGTTACCTATGCAAGCATGAAGCAGTGTTTGTTTCCAAAGATCAGCTAGCTGTGGACAGTTAACAAGAAAGCAACCACCGTGATCCAGTCCTTCTATCCTTAAATCAAAAGAATGCTGTTGCCCAGGCAAGTGCTGTAACATTCTTGATAATTTATGCTGGCTCTACACACAACCTTTTGTTTCATTGCCGAGATCTTGAAGTTTCCCCTGTTTGTTCTTGGATGAAACGTTTTTTCCCCAAGGGTTAGTGGACTGCATTATGGAGACTGCGTATTAAAGTAAGTGTGCTTGTTTTGAGGTTTGTTTAATGAGCTGCTTTTCTGTCATCTGAGAGAACTATTGTTCAGTGAACCACACTTGAGACGAGTGGCTTTTTGTGGGGATTCTCCTCATGTGTCCTGCTGGGACACACAAAGGCATCTTTTCCAGGTCAGGGGAAAAGGGTTCCCTCTTTAGACGCGCAGCTCTGAGCTGTGTCGCTGCCCTGCAGGTTTGTCTGTCTTGGTGTAGTGATCCCAGTACAGCAAAGCCCAGCTGTTTGGCAAATTTACCTGAGGGGGGAATAATTCATTGTCACCTTTGATGTGTGCATGTGTTCTGTTTTCTGATATTTTTGAGATCACTGAAAAGAAGTTAATATTTGAAAGAATGCTGCCGGAAGAGAAGTTGAACTGGGGGACCCACACACACTGCTTTGTAGAACCGAGGTGCTGTTGCTGTACCCTCTGGTTGCTTCTAGGTGGCACTGCAAGAAAAAGAATGCATATTCACTGGCTGTAGACTTGCCAACTGTTGAGCTGGTTTGTGCTCTGGGGGCCATAGAGCAGAGAGTAGCAGGTGGCAAATGCTTTTGGGAGAAAAGAGGAAAGGAATAAACTTACTCTGTGTGGCAGAATTGACTGAGCTTCTAATTGCAGTGACGTATGAATGGAACTGTGGTCACTTGGTGACAGACTGGTTTTGCTTAATGCCAAAAATGTGATTGTGTATAAAAATTACATACCTATTTATCCTCCAGTAATTAAAATCACAGAAGAAACGATCCTCTTTTTTTTTTTCCCCTAAATCTTTTAATGTGAGACTGCTTTACGAAGCAATCTTGATGGAGAATTATACAATGTGTGCATAGACTAAATAAACACAGGTTGTTAGTCTCAATTTGAATCTTATTGTTTTTCTATGTTTTTATATTTTGAACAGGAAAGATCATAATATGTTCCAATTCAAAGTCATTTCTCAACTTATTGTTGTCAAATATCTGGCATATCTTTGTTCAATTTAGCACCTGGTTTGAAAGGTTTACTTTACACAGTTAAAGCCTCTGTTCCTGAATCTGCTGGAGCTTCTAATGTTAACTCCAACTCCTCATTTCTGTCTCTTTATTTATAAGAACCCTGTATCCTTTGCAAGAGATGATTTGGAAGATTTTAGCAAGGAAGTAATTTCGTGCTGATTTGTAAAAACCAAAGACCTAGCCCTTCTTTTCCCCCTAAAATGTTTTATTCCTTCTACCCTCCCCCCCCATGTTCAGAGCTAGAAAGTGTTTTGTAAGAAATAATCTGAGATGTGAAACTAAATAACTAAAATCTTTTTTTTTTCTTTTTTTTTTTTTTCAGCAGCTCCATGAGACTGTGAAAAGAAAGCTTGATAGTGCTGCTTCCCCTCAGAACGGAGACCAGCAGAATGGCTTTGGTGATGTATTTTCTGTTTCCAAGAAGCTGCGTCGTGATGATGGTCTTGGTGGAGTGAGTGGTTCTTCCAATGGAATGCCCCCTGTGTCTCCACTCCATCATCTTGACAAGAAATCTGCCAGTGGAGATACCTTGCAGCTTAATGGAAAACATCCGATGGGACTCGATGGCATCAGCAAGAAGTGTCTTCCAGATTCCAGTCTGCAACTGAATGGAGGTGGTGATGCTGATGATTCATTTCCTCTGAGTTTGAACAAAGAGCTGAAACAGGAGCCTGTAGATGATCTTCCGTGTATGATTGCTGGAGCAGGGGGTTCTATATCTCAGAACAACTTGATGCCTGATCTTAATCTTAACGAGCAAGAATGGAAAGAGCTTATTGAGGAGCTTAATAGGTCAGTGCCCGATGAAGACATGAAGGATCTCTTTAATGAAGACTTTGAAGAGAAAAAAGATGCGGATTCTTCAAATTCAGCTGCACAGACTCCGTTGCCACAAGATATTAACATAAAGACTGAATTTTCCCCTGCACCCTTTGAACAGGAACAGATGGGATCTCCGCAGGTTAGATCTACTTCTTCAGGTTCAGCATTTATCGGTGCTGCCTCTGTTCCTGTAAGTGCTGCGTCTCCAGTGGTCGGTAGTTCTCAGGCTATGTTTCAGCCTTCTAGTCAGTCAATGACTGAAAATGCTAATCAGCCCATGATGCAGGCATCAAACCACTCTCAGAACGTCCAGAGACCTCTCCCCAATGTGCTTTTACCTGGGAAGGGGGCAGGAAGTGCCAAAGAAATGTCCTCTGCTCATCAACTCCAGCAGATTGCTGCCAAGCAGAAGAGAGACCAGATGCTGCAGAACCAGCAGCAGGCTTCCCAAGTCCACCAAACCAATCAGATGTCTACCTGGCAGTCTGGGCCTTCTCACAGCCCACTGGCTGTTCCATATACCATGGAAAATCCCACCAGCCCTTCAGTTTACCAGCCGGACTTCAACAATCAAAAGCTCATGATGCCTAATATGGGAAATAAAAGCTCTCCAAGAGCTGGAGGCAACTACCATGTGAACATATTGGGTCATCAGCAAAACAGCATGAACCAGAACCCTGTGAATAGTCAAGGCTCAGTGCTAGACTATGGGAACACCAAACCTCTTTCACATTACAAAGCAGAATGTGAACAGGGTGTTGCAGTACCTGGTCAGAACAAGACTCCCATGTTGGCTTACATACAGCAGCGCCAGCAGCAGCCACTGTCCCACGTGAGTGATGACCAAAATGGAATGATCCTGTTGAAACCCAAGTCTGGAAACATTACCTACCGACTGCCGCACAGTCAGGTACTTGTTCTGATCTTTGTTACTTTTGTTTAGTAACAGATTTAAGGTTTTGAAAGAGGATGCTGGGTAGGTAAGATTGGAGTATGGGTTACTTGATGATGATTCAGATCAGCTGCTGCATGTTCCTAAAGAAGAAGATGGTAGTACACAGTGTGCTGAGGCAAGAGTCAAGCGCTGTATTTTCCACCAAGGAAAGTTTTTAATATGCAATTCTAGGTCACGTTGGTAACGTGTGGTTTGCAGCTTAATATACTTCATGGGCAACAAATTATGTCACACTTCACAGAAGGTTCTACTTACAAAGATAAATAGATGCTTTGTAAACTTTTGCCTGAAATAGCTCATAGAACTGCAGTGTTAAACAGTGTTCTAGCAGAAGATTTGCTTTCTTTACTTTCTCCTTCATCCCTGACTTCTGTAGGAGTTGGCTCACTATAAACAGATACGCCTTCAGTTGCTGCTTTTTGGAGAGAGATGGGAGTGAGGGCTGCGTTCTTGGTTACTTGGGTGTTACTTGGCATTTTTCAACTCTAAGAATTCGTTACTGGTTAAGTCTGTGGGAATGTATCTTTAATTTGTAATATTTGTCTGCTTGAAGCATTGTGCTCCAGGTTTTCCTATAAAGGAGAACTCCAGGTTGTGCTTCTTTGTCTTCCGAGATATAATAAATTTGCAATATAAAGATAACAACATATAGCTGATATTACAGATGTGCTGCAGGTAGGAATGTGTATAGCAGCTGAAGGAGAACAGGCTTGTAGGCACGCGCTACCGAATCCCCACAATGCACGTATTGGAAAACTTGCTGTCAAAAAAGGTCTTTGTTATAAGGATGAAAACTGCAAAAGCCATCGGAGCTCCAGCTCTTGTAGTGTGTTCCTTCAGTATAGCAAAACACAAAATACATGGCATAAAGGCCTGATTAGTCTGTGGTAAAGACCACAGTGATGTAAAAATAAAAATGAGATCAATAATACATGCTTCATAAGGCACAAGGAAAATTAATCTCTTTAAAAGCTAGTGGAAGTAACGATCTAATGATATTTTTGGTGAAGAAAGAAGGAGGGGAAGGGTGAAGATGATTGTGTGTGTCACATCTATCTCTTGCTGAAAAACTTGAAGGTGACCTTGCGTCTGTGCTGTCATGCTTGCGTTGAAATAACAGAAATCCTAATGAATACTTCTGGAGAATTTCTAAGAAGCTTGCTTACAGAACAACTTAGCACAGCATTACCTATATTTGGCTCATGATTTCTTACAAAACTGCAGCAAGTGAGAACCAGCAGCCCAGACCGTTAGCTGAATTCTGAATGTGAAAATAAATACGTTTGCATAATTTGAAATGAGGCTGAACTGTGCTTAGAAATGATAACAAATGTCAAATTCCAAATGGATTCTCATGTACAAAGAGATCGGTGTCAGGTCTTGATGGATAATTGTTCCATATTACTTTGACTTAATGGCATTTCCTGAGTTCCTATCTCCAAAACAGAAAGAAAAAAAGCAGACTTACGAAAAAATGAATACAACCAGTTATCCATCGTAGTGTTTTTTCTGTATAATATGATGAAGGCTGGATTGGTGACCAAACGTTAGGACTCTTCATTTTGGTCAGTGATGTTTCTTCCCCTTCACCTGTGAATAGTAAATTCTGATACTAAAAAAAAAGTCAGCATTAGGAGGGGAGATGTAAACTTTCAGAATTAAGTGTTGACAGAAGAGGCAGGATGTAACTATATGATGAAATTTCAAAGCTGGTTGGGAAGCTGCAACCAAAGGTAACTGCAGTTGGTGCATTTGAAGTGTTGTTTGTAATGGCACCATTCCTCTGGCTGAGCAGAAGTGCCCAAAGCTGCGTTCCCCTTTCTGAGCTGGAGTTTGGGAAGTACTTTTAAATGAGACTTGAGTTAAAGCCTCTGTTCCTGAATCTGCTGGAGTTTCTGATGTTAACTTCAACTCCTCATTTCTGTCTCTTTATTTATAAAAATTTTGTATCCTTTACAAGAGATGATCGAACTTGTGGTCATCATTATGAAAATGTCTTTCCTTGTCTGTGTGACTGTACAAAGTCTTTAAATTCTAGAGGGCTAACCTCCTTCTGTAACTCACATCATTGTTTTTATGTTCTGCAGGATCAAACCACATCTCCTAATGTTCCTCGTGTTCCCGTTTCTGTCCCGGGTGCTGGTGTTGGTGCCCAGGCTCCCAATGTCACCATGGCAGGGAACCACAGCAACCAGTCGTATCTTAGCAATCAGCAGCAAGCAGCAGTGATGAAGCAGCACCAAATGCTGATGGACCAGCAGAAACAGAGAGAGCAGCAACAAAAGCACTTGCTCATGGAGCAACAGAAGCAGCAGTTTCTAATGGAGCAGAGACAACAACATCTCTTAGTTGAGCAGGTAAGGGGGGCCAGCAATCTTTTTTTCTTCCTTTCCACTGACATGCTTTGGCTGACTTAAAGCTGTGTTTGAGATGTTATAGAGCTAGTACAACCTTATGAAATAGGGGATGTAAACTACAAAATGTTTTGGTATAAATCACTGTTCTGTTTTATATACAATCAACAGCAAAATGTAGCATTTGGTTCCTGAGACGTTCTTTCTGTTACAAGGCACAGCTGTGAATTAAAGGAATAAAACAGCTAGAATTTAATTGTGTGGAAATGCAAGCTGATACCTACAGGAAGAGAAGATATACCAGTGATGATATAATTCTGTGCCTTCCTTCTTTCACCAAGGAAATGAGAGCAAAATAATAAAAGGTTGGGATACCCTTGATGTTTTGGAGAGCTTTAAGCAAGGGACTCTGTAAGCTGGTTGAGCTCTGCCTTTCCTCTCTGTGAGTGCTGTGACAGTTCACGTTTCAAATTTTAAATCATCTTTCATTTGTTTATTTGGGGAAAATAATTAGACATCTGCATGCAACTTGCATCTGATCCTGCCAAAAGAATTTAACTCTGCTATCCATCAGACTGTGCAGAAAGCTGCTTTAGTCTCTCTCAGGGAAATGGGCTCCTTGTGTGAACCTTTCTAAGCTTTAAACCTTTTGCAAGTCTTTCAGCTGGGAATCGGTCTGAAGGGCCTTACTCCTGTCATCTGTGCTTTTCTGCATTTTTGAGTAGTCCATGCAGGCATGTTCCACACATTGTCACTGTACAAATGGAACAAATCTCTGTGCTGGGTATGGAGGATGGGAAGGTGAAATTTCAGAGAAGGTTTTAGGTCCAGGGAGAATTTACAATTCAGATCTTCGTTTTGTCTTTCAGAATAATGGATTGGGGTGGGGTGTGTGAAATGTTATCTTTGGGGATAACAGGGGGGAAAAAGAGATGGTAATTTATAGAAAAAACTGAGACCTGCATATATTCCTTAATTAAAAAACAAAACAAAATGTCATTGAAGTGCATCATTGGGTGTTAGTTTCAGGTAACCTCCCCTCTCTGATACTGTGAGATTTTTTTACGCTTGATATTCTGCATCTTTTTTATTTTTATTTTTTGCTGAGCCAGCCTTCTGCAGCTCTTGGTTTATCGTACTGCTATGGCATACTTCCCTGGCTTCTGTGGTCAGCCCCTTTCAGGTCTGACTGGTCCTGCAAGCAGCAGGTCCCTTCTGTGAAACAGCCTGCCCTCTTCATTCCTCTGCATGTCTCAACAGCTTCTCAGTTGCAGACACTTCAAAACAATGGTAGTAAAGTGTACCTGCCTGCTTTCCACATTGCACTCATCTCTTCTTGAGGGGCTTAGTGCTTGTGTCTTTGTCCTAGGACTCTGGAAAGGGAATTTCTGTCCCTGCCTGTGCTCTGAGCATGTTTTTACATAAGTGAGTAGTTGTCCTTGGTATCACTCTTAATGCTCTCAGAATTTCAACCCGGTTGAAGATAACTGTGGATAAAGGGCCAGAAATGCTGTCTGAGATGTGCTTTGTGGTGTAAAAGCAGCCTTTGGCTGTTGATATTGTCAGAATCACACTTAGTGCATGTACTTACACACCTTCTCCCATTCCCTCCATGGCTTTCCATTCCCTTTAAATTTGCTAGTCTTCTAATGAATTTGTAATAGAGTACATACAGATTGGATTCTCTTTAAAGAAACAAGCTGATTTCAAACCATTAGTGGGTCTTTTTGCAATAAACAAGTGAATTATTGAGAAAATAGTTTGGAACAGTGATTGTAAAACTCTTATAGCTCCTGTTGTAACCTTAGTTTTGTAGTTTTCCACGATCTTCTAAGACACCCAATAATTTGGGTTTGTATATGTTTTTGTTTTTGAAAACTGGACCTAGAAAACATTTACATGTTTTTACTTTTCTGCGCAACACTGGTATTTATGACTTGTACTTTTACTTTACACTCTTTAAAAAAATTGATGTGGGGGCAAAGAGTAAAAGGTATTTGTGGATTTTTAGGTGTTTTTGCTTTTTCTCTTTTTATACTTGTTAGAGTATTGTACCTTTAGGATATTGCTGAAAATTTATGAATGTTTCATTGATTAAAAGACTAATACCTGTGACTTCCAGTTATTTAAAGGCTTAGCTGAGAACAAAGGTCTGAAATTTAAGGTGACAGAAGCTCCTATAATTACCAGCTCCATGTAAAAGCATGCGGGTAGCTTGATTTTTAACCAGGATAGTTGCTCTTGGAGAAACCTTGACTTGCTTCCTAATTATTTTTCATTGGATCTTTCCTAGGAGAAGCAGCGGCAGCAGCAGGAGCAGCAGCTGCAGCGACACCTGACCCGGCCACCTCCCCAGTACCAGGACCAGCAGCAGAACCCATACCAGCAGCAGGTTGGGCAGTTCACAGGTGAGCGTTGTGAAGTTATGGCAGAAGTACTGGGAATAAAACCAGGTGCCACTGGAGTTCCTGGACTGGAGAGCTTATGAGTAATTTATTGCAACATCTTCCTGTGTTACTGTGCTTTTAAACTTTTAGAGCTAGGCTCTGGTACATTTGAAAAAATAACAGCTTCCTCTGACCTAAAAATCTAAGACAGTGCAAGCTTCTGATTCTGTAATATTGCTGTGGAAATGGATAAAACTTGGGCTTTAGAACAATGAAGGTATTTCATTTTTATACTCCTATTTTCCTTTACAGATGTTAAATTCTCCTTTAACTTTGTGTGTGCAGTACTGCTCTAATATTCTCCCCTTTAGAAGGGAATGGCATCCAGTGTGGTTCTTGTGGGATTTGGTTTTGTTTCGTAGGAGCCTGGTATGTCTTGATTGTACTGACACTGATAATTGTTGGGGTATTTTTGCCATAAAGGTGGAATGGCACTATGAATGTGGAAGAAGTAGAGAACAGCAAAAGATTTTCTCCTTACCTGACAAATCCTTACTTATCATGGCATTAAGGAAATACTTGCTTTCTTTTATAAAGCTATAGTATGCAAAATGTGCATATTCTCTTCTTTCTTTTCCTTGCTCAATTCCTGCAGAAGTAAATGCCAAATGGAAGAGATGCAAGTAGAAATATAATACTCTCATTCTTAGTGTTTGTGATCATACAGTAAAGCTAGAGCTGGGCTTTGTTACTTCACTGAAAAACTTGATATCAGTGCAGGAGGTTTGTGCTAACAGTGGTCAGTAACAGACTTCAAATACTGAAATGCATTATCTTGTCTCCTGCTACATTCCTACAGAAATACAGTAGTACCTCTGTTAGGAGTATATGTTCCTATAATTAGTATCAGTATTATTTTTCCCTTGTTTTGATAATTGTAATTGTTATTCTGCATCTTAAATGCTGGTATGTGTTCTACCTCTTCACTGTACGGTTCCAGTACGACCTCCCAGTTGGCCCTGTAACACTGGTTAATTAATTGTTAATTCATTGGAGAGCCAGTGTTATTCGTATGTCTTGAATTATCTTTTAAAAAATCAGTAGCTTTTTTTTGTTTGAAAGTAGAGGAAGTACTGGTGTAGGCAGGTTTCCCTTGGTTGGCTAAATGTGGGGAGAAAGTGGACGATATATGCAACTTCACAATGCTTGTCTTTTTTTTTTTCTCCTTGTTTTAAGTAACAGGGATGTTTATTTTACAGGGAAATGCTTTTTTTCTTCCTTTTTTTCCTCTTTACTGAGTTTAGAGGAGAAGACCTGTTGTTTACTGACAATAGATATTTTTGCAAATCATCTTTGTTATCAGCATTGCATATTAATGTAGCAGATACTTCACCATGGAAATCCAAAAGATGTTTGTAGCAATTGGGCAGATGAATACAATGGGAAAAGTGTTACAACAAAGGCGTAACAACAAAAGGACTGGCACAATAGAGAGGTGCTATAAAGGAAGGAAGAAGACTGCTCACCCATATCAGAAGATTCCAGGTCCGCAGAGGAAAGCTTCACCAGGGATCCCCAGAAAGAGATCCTTTCCTAGTGGCAGTCAGCCCTTCAATGAGGTCTAAGAGGGGTGCAGCCAGGCTGCAGACCTTCCAGTCACACTGCTGAATTGCCTTCACCTGTGCTCCCAGGGCTGACCTGGTCCTTTCCCCAGGTGCTCAATCAGTGATTCAGGCTGTGACTCAACAGTTACCATACTTTTATAAGTATAAAAGTATAAGTATAGTATAACTAAATATTTATGAAAGTTGCCTAAAAGAAAAGACATTCCCAGAACACAACTGGAAATCCTGCAGTTCTTGCACTAAGAGACTCACTGTGTATCCACAGAATAACTGACAATTTGTATATGCAGTAAAAATGATATATTTTTTAACAGACTAACAGATTGTATGTGTGTGCATACTTCTGTTCGCAGAGAAACGTCACAGTCCTGTCCAATGAAGCCTAATTTTTTTAATGTTGGTGATGTTGAACTCACAGAAGTGGCATTCCAGACTTTTTAGGAAATTGGCATATCTGCGTTCAAGATCAGACTGAACGCAGCACTGCTGTCTGTGTGCTGGTTGCTTAAATTGTTTTATGCACATGTAGCTGCGTTCTGGCTTATAGGGTTAACAGGCCTAGATTGGCTGTGGTTGAACCGAGTAGTTAATGTAAAAAATATTTCTTTGCATTTCAGGATCATCTTCAGCCATGCCTGGGGTCAGTAATTTAGGACAGTCCAGCTCCAGCAGTCCACGGATGTTTCCTCAGACCCAGAACATGATTCAGATGGGACCTGGACACAGTTCTGTCGCACCGCTGCAGTCTGGCTCCAGCCAGCAGGACCGGGGGGTGACTCAGTACGCCAACATGCAGAACATTCAGCGAG